CAAATATATGAAAAAATGTTCAACATCATTAGTAGATAGGAAAATGCAAATCAAAACTATACACTAAGATTTCTTCTCACACCTGTCAGAATGGCCGTCATCAAAAATACAAATAATAGCCAGGCATGGTGATGCACATCTGTAATCCCAAAGATGCAGGAGGATCATGAGTTTAAAGCCAGCCTCAGCAAAAGTGAGGCACCAAGCAACTCGGTGAGACCCTATCTCTAAATAAAATACAAAATAGGACTGGGGATGTGTTTCAGTGATCAAGTGCCCCTGAGTTCAATCCTGCTACAAAAAAAAGAGAATACAAATAATAATAAATTCTGTAAATGATGTGGAGAAAAATGAACACTTTTACACTGTTGATGAGACTGTAAATTAGTACAACTACTCCGTACTATGGAAATCAGTACGGAAGTTCCTCAAAAGACTAGGCATGGAACTACCATATGACCCAGCTATACCACTCCTTGGTATTTAGCCCAAAGAACTGAAGTCCTACTACAATGATACATGCATACCCATGTTTATAGCAGCACAATTCACATTAGTCAAACTATGAAACCAGCCTATGTGTCCATCAATGGATAAATAAATAAATAAATAAATGAGGTATATATACACAATGGAGTTTTATTCAACAATAAAGAAAAATGAAATTATGTCATTTGAAGAGAAACGGATGGAAGTAGAGAACATTTTGTTAAGTGAAATAAGCCAAAATCAGAAGGTTGAGGGTCATGTTTTCTCTCATGTGTGGAATCTAGAAAAAAGGGAAGAGAAAGGTGTGGGGTGCAGGGATCTCATGAAAATCAATGCAAGATCAGTAGAGGTAAAGGACAGCAGGAGAAGTGAAGGGGCAAGTGCTGGGGAGTAATATTTGTCAAATTGTTGTATTGTGTGCATGTACAAATATGTAACAACAAGTCCCCTCATTATGTACAAGTACAATGCACCAATTTCAAAAACAAACTGTATAAAGAGAGAAAAAGAATATGGGGCCTGAGAACAGACCCCATTATCTGTCATCACAAATTTCTGCCAAAGTTGGACATATAACCTCTAAGAATGGCACTAAATAACAGTGTGAAACCTAAGGAAGCAGGGAGAAACAGTCCAGGAGCCAAGGTATTGCTACAGGAATAAGCCAGACAAAATGGGACACAACTGTAATCCCAGCTACTCGGAGCTAAGGCAAGAGGATTGCAAATTCAAGACTAGCCTTGGCAACTTAGTGAGACATGTCTCAAAAAAGAAGAGCTATGTGTATGGCCCGGTAGTAGAGCAAAAGGGCCTGGGTTCAATCCCCAGTACTGTGTAAATAAATAAATATTAATAGAACATGGTCTTGGAAATGATAAAATAAGATCACTTAAATGAAAGCATCCTAGCAAACAGCCTAATAACACCAACACTACTAAAAATGGTGAATAAGTGTTAGAAATGGGAACTTTGGCTTTTCCTTTAAGAAGCCTCTGTGAACCCAGCTCTAGGCTCTTTTCTAAAATCCAATGTCAATTCTGTCTTCAAAAGATACCTCACACTGGTCCCCTTCTCTCTACCTCCACCAGCCTTCATCTGGTCCAGGACATTCTCATACATCTACACTAATACTGACACCCCAAAACTGATCACCCTGCATTCTCCAAACCATGCCTTTCACAAAAAAGACTCCAGTGTGGTCTTTTTAAAATTTAAGATCACATCATTCCCTGGTAATATTCCTCATGGCCTTCCTGATGCCTATAAAATAAAATCCCAAATCCCTTCACAGCCTAAAAGGCTTCTTCACCTTATCTCATGTCCTCTTTCTTCCTGTTGAACTCTAAGCTGTCCATGAATCCTCCCTCCTCTCTCCCAAACACATCCCCTTGCAACCCAGGCTCTCTTCCTGGAATACTCTCTTCCCAGCTCTTGGTACAACTGGCTCCTTCTCCTCCCTTACCCTAACTCAGATGTCCCAGGAGAGGCCTATCCTTACCCCCTTTCTCATTATCAGATCACCTGTTCATTTCCTTCCTAGCACTTAACTGAAACTATCTTTATTCATTTGTTTCTTATCTGTCCCCCATGGGCAGAGGCCTGTCTTTGTCACTGTAAAATCCCCCACATCTAGCATATCATAGCACCAGTCAGGTCTGCAGATGAGACATGCTCCTAGACAATATGGGCATTCTGTGGGGATGGTCTGTGTGCTATCATCTCTCTAGGTGCCTCTCAAGAAACAACTTCTGTGCCCCATGCCCCACTTCTTCATAATCAAAACCCCGAGGTTCCAACTTCCTTTTCTCATCTGTTTTTAGAGAATATTCTGTGCATCCTCAACCAGACACACAGCTTCCTCACCAATGTGGGCATCTGGCAAGATGGTCAGGAACTGTTCCTTGGAGTGTGTTTTAGGCCTCAGCCACTGACAACAGAGTTACCAGAGTTTGCTAAAAGTTTCATGGGGACTTGCTACCTCCTGTTATCAGAACTGCCTGAAAGCACTAGTGGGAGGCCTTGGGGTCAGGGTGGTGTCCCTGAGTGGCTGTTTCTGTTCTGTGTAGAGTCCTTGTTTGAGGATGAGTGTGTCTGAGGAGTCTTTGCTGCAGCCATCATTTAAACAAACTGATTGACACTTCTACCTGGGGATCAGATTCCATCTTTCCCCAAATCACTAGGCAGCCAGGTTCTCCAGGAAGGAGTATTTTTCTGGAATCAATGGGACATGAGTGTCACAGATATACAGAGAATCATGGCTGAAAGAAAAGGTTCTCGGTTGAAGGGGGCCAAGGAGAATGACAAAAGATAGCATAAACCTGGTCCATCTTCCTTCACTCTGCTTCCTGTGATTCACTTTCTATCCTTTTTCTCCCCCCACAATAAACACTGAGGCTTCAAAACACTAGAAATAAAAAAATAACTTTTCTCCCTAGCTGTTGAAACTATTTCTCACAATCAGTCCACCTGGGCTGGGGATGTGGCTCAAGTGGTGGCGCGCTCGCCTGGCATGCGTGCGGCCCGGGTTCGATCCTCAGCACCACATACCAACAAGGATGTTGTGTCCGCCGAGAACTGGAAAATAGATGTTGGGAATTCTCTCTCTCTCTCTCTCTCTCTCTCTCTCTCTCTCCTCTCCTCTCCTCTCCTCTCCTCTCTCACTCTAAAAAATAAATAAATAAATAAAAAATAAAAAAAAAAACAATCAGTCCACCTGTTCTTCCTCTTCTCCTACATACTGAGTCTTTTTCCTGTCCCTCCTGACCCTAAAGAAGACTGGACTCACCAATTGCCATCTTAATTTGAGATAACTAGTGTGTGTGCATACTGAATAACCTCTTCACTATTATTACACACACACACACTCAGGCCAGGTACATACATGGTGACAATGGTGGTTCTGATTGTATGTTTTTAGCTCCCAGCATTCCCTCATGGTCATCTGATAGTGTCTTCTTCCTTTGTGAAAGAGCCCCTCTCTGTTTCATTGGCTCTGGTGGGGCTGTTGATTACAGTGCCCTTCACTCCACCCCAGGAGTGGGCATAGGACAAAGCTGAGCCTATCAGATTCTTCTGTGAGATTTCACATATAGGAGAGAGTGGGGAAAGTTCTCAATTTCCAGGGAAAGGCTAAAATGGGTAGATGTAAGACTGCTCCTCTCTGCAGCTATGTCCCACTCACGCTTCCACTCCTCCACCACAGGGATGAGCCTGATAACAGGAGGTTACCAATACACGAGAGACTGGACTACATACTTGGATTGCCAGGGCCAGTTTAGGCAAAGCAGTATCTTTTAGTTATTTTGAGTGGGTTTCAATTATTTAAAACAGATCAAATGACAAACGCTCCAATGAGAAAGATAGTATTCCTTTGGATTTTATATCGTAGCTTATTTTTCCTCAGCAGGCAATATTAAAATGGATTCATGTTGCACATGTAAGTATAATGAACGCTACTGAACTGTACACTTAAAAATAGACAAATTAATAGTAAAATTCTTAAGTTTTACTGTGGCAGGAGGGCTAGAGATAAAGAACTCAAGGGTGTTATGATTAGCTTTCCTTTTTAGCAGAACAGCAGAAACTGAGCGATTAGGTATCCTGCCTACTGTTACACAGCATACTCCCACCAGAACTTTGACAGGTTTTCTCACATCCTGCACCTGGAATAGCTGGACAATGTAGTAGATGCTATTCTGGTTTCATGCTGCAGGAGGAGCCTGTACTCCTCCCCCAGAGCCCTGACAACCCATTCGTTGCTAAATGTTTTCATGCAGGTCTCTCAAGAACTTGTTCCACTTTGGCCCTGGCGCACTCGGAGAAATGCAAACTGAGATGGGGCGCGAGCTGGTTTATTCCCCACTCAGCAAGCATCTGCTGGTCGGGAACTGTGGTTCAGACCCCGCGAAGCGAGCAGGGTAGAGGGGAGGCCCCGGCGCCAGCTGTGGGTCCGGGACCCGCTCCAAACGCCTAGAACAAGGCTCTGAGCAGCGAGGGGGTCCGGGGATGCTATCCTTCCCGGCCGCCAGCAAGCAGAAGACACACACAGCCTTGGCACCGTGGACTCCACAGACTCCCTCGCCGCGGGGCCGGAAGTCAGCGGCGCAAGCCCAGCAACAGGCCACCCATTGCGCACGCTCCGGGGCCGAGCCCAAGACTACGACTCCCGGGGTGCAGTGCGATAGTATGACAAACTGCTCAGCCAATGGGCGAGAGGTTTGCCCCGAGGAGCCAATCCCTCGGGGCGGAGGCGGGCCCTCCCGCGGGGTGGCAGTGTGTGGGCTTCTCCACCGCCCGCGCCTCGGCCCCGCCCCCGACCCGTGCTCCTGGGTTCCGGGTCCCGGGTCCCCAGAGAGGTGAGTCGGCTGCAGGTGGGCACGGGCACCGCGCTCCTCCGGGCGCTGGTGTCGCAGGCGCCGGGCCGAGCTCACACCCCGCCGAGCTGCGCGCGTGATTGCGGCGGCTCCGCCAGGCCGGGGCCGGACTGGGCCGCGGCCCCACGCCGCTCGGCCTGCCGTGCCTCACCGCGTCGCGCTCGCGTGGGCAGACTCCGGGCGCACTGGCCACCCGGCCAGCGCTGGGGTCTCCCGGGGCCTGCGCCGCCGCTCCCCGCAGGATGCTCGCGGTCGGCATCAGCCGGGATGCGGGAGAGTTGGAGCGAGCTACCTGTAAGACGGCTTGAACTTTTCCTGGGGATTCCAGTCCCTGTCCGTTAAATTATATTTCGCTTCTCGTCGACTTGTGTGCTTATTACCGAAATAAAGGAAATATTTTTTCCCAGTGCCCTTAGGACGTTATGATTTTTCTCCTTTGCAAGACAGTTTTACAAACTGACGGAAACACAGACCTCCTCCCAGGACCTGTTGTATTAAGGTTGTCTGGAGAAAGGGTTGGCAAATAAGGCCTTGTCTCTGCAGTCGTCCTTCCCAACATCTCGGAGGAGCTTCGTTTCTACCATCTTTCTAGCATTCAGAGAGACTTCTCCAGGGTCATGATCCCAAAGGCTTGACCAGTTTACAAGGAGAGAGAAGTTGTTTTCTTGAGCCCCCCAAAATGGCAGCTAAAATGGAGATAACTTTGAGTTCCCAGACTCAGGCTTCCTCCAAGCAAGAGAGACACATAATAACAAAGCTAGAAGAGAAAAGAACATCTACTCTGCAAAAAAACTTCCCGGATCCTGAGCTCTCCCGACAAAGCTTCAGACGGTTCCGTTATCAAGAGGTGACTGGACCCCAAGAGGCACTCTCCCAGCTCCGACAGCTCTGCCGGCAGTGGCTGCAGCCTGAGCTGCACACCAAGGAACAGATTTTGGAGCTCCTGGTGATGGAACAGTTCCTAATCATCCTGCCCCCGGAAATCCAGGCTCGGGTCAGGCATCGATGTCCAATGAGCAGCAAGGAGATTGTGACCCTGGTAGAAGATTTTCACAGAGCATCCAAGAAACCAAAGCAGTGGGTAAGGAGAGTCCTCTGTCATGGTCCCCTGGGTTTTTTGTTTGTTGTTGTTGTTGTTGTTTTTGGGGGGTCATCTTTGTACTGTTTATCTCTGGATCCCTCCCTATTTAAGAGTCCAGGAGATTTTTAAAAGTTACTTCCAGCCTCTATCTGGGAACCCCCTGCAACTTCTAATAAGTTTCAGAGAACCTAGCTACTGACATCCAGTGAGGAAGTAGAGCACCAAGGTGCTCTGCTTTTTCATTCCATTGTGGGCTGCAAGTCCCAGAAAGTAGCTTTAAGGTTCAAAGGCTGGGGATATGTAGCTCAGTGGCAGAGTGCTTGCCTAAGCATGCAAGGGACCCTGGCTGGTTTCAATCACCAATATGGGGTGTGGGAGGGAGTTCAGGTTCTTGAATCTCTGCTGATAGATCTAATCCCCATTCATTCCTACAATCAGAATTATTGGAAAGATCAGCTGACTTGGGGGGAATTTCAATGAATTTTTTTCCAGGGGTGTGTCTGCCCTGTTGTCTCTGAATCAGGAGGTTACAGCTCACTTGCCTAGTGTTGCTATTCTTTCCCATCCAATTCCCCAAGCCAGACCCCAGCCAAGGCCTAAGCAGGAAGCAAACATATGTACTCTGGAAAATGGGAACAGGTGGGGCAGTTCTTTTAGACCCCTACTATTATTGGACCTCTCTGATAGGAGAGTCTTTGGCAGAAAAAAAATATTAAAATGATTTTTTAATGTCCCCTCACCATACTGATTCCTGTTCCTATATGGCCTATTTCCAACAGAAGATGAGAGGTGAGTGGGGTGTGGGGAGGGAATTTGATGGGCCAGTGTCATGACTGACCCATTGGTGCCAGCTCTCTTCTGATGACTTTCAACTCCAGGCCTTGTTGAAGGCCCATGCTAGAGGATAGGCAGTCAGAAAGTACTGGATGCTGTGAAGCTGCCTCATTCTGTGTTCCCTTCCCTTGCTTCCTGTGAGCGTTTCAATGGTCTCTATAAAGTTGACCTCTGGACCATGAGCAGAAGTTCCCAAGGTAAAGGGGTTATTGTACAGCAGTGGGCAAGAAAGCTGCTCTCAGTTGGTCCTAACTGGAGTGTTAATGGATGGGGCTTGTTCCTAGGTGGCCGTTTGTATGCAGGGACAGAAGGTGCTGTTGGAGAAAACTGGATCTCAGATTGGAGAACAGGAACTGCCAGACTTTCAACCACAAATTCCTAGGAGAGATATCAGGGAGAGCTCTCTGGTGGAGCATTCCCAGGAAGGACCTCATGACCGGCTGAGCCCCCGTCACTGGGAGAAATCCCCACTCCCCCAGGAACCAGCTCCCATATTGACTGGGACAGGTAACACTCTGCCTTCTCTCTCCCTCTCATCTGTTCTTTCCTTCCATGAAAGCATCTTATCATTCTGCAAAGTTATAGACTCTGTGTGTGTGTGTGTATTGATATTTATTCCCAGGTTTTTAATGTTATGTATATTGATATTTATTCCCTAAAAGACTCCACTAATTACAGTGGTAGTGAAACTACAAATAAGTATGCTTTTATCATTTTGTTAACGATTCCAATGCATAGTAGGATTATTCTAGTATCTACTTTTCTGTCCCTTTCAGAGCTTCGTAGGATATAGATCTAGATATAACCACAGATGAATTTCCATGGTCCCATGCTAAAGAATGTTCTGCCCAGTAGAGAAAAAGCCCCACTCCATATTATTCCTTTTCCTCCTCCTCTGTGATATCCTTTGTGCTTTAAACCCTTGTGTCTATTGCCCTATCTGCCTCTGGTACAATACCAGTATAATTGCTGGCCCTGTTCTTCACAGTGCTATTATAACAGTGACATTCTGGTCAGTCTTATGTGACTCCAAGATACAGCCAGCAGATTAGAGAGGGTGATTCCAAGAAGACTACAGCTCTGTTTCTTTAACATTTGCTGTGTTTAGGGAGAAACTTTGTGTTGTAGTCTGTTCGGGCATCTATAAGAAAATATTAGAGAATAGGCAGCGTAGAAACAACAAAAGTTCATTTCTCACAGTTCCAGAAGCTAGGAAGTCCAAAACCAAACTGCCAGCATGTTTGGGTTCTGATGAGGGACCTATTTTGGATTGTGGACTACCAATTTCTCTATATGTCTTCACATTCCATGGCAGAGTAGGCAAGCAAACTCCTTCAGGCCTCTTTCATAAGGGCAGGAATTGCATTCTCGTGAGAGCAGAGCCCTTATAATCACCTGCAAAAGTCTCACCTCCTAATGCCACCTCCTTGGGAGTTAGGGTTTCAATAGATGAAATTGGGGGAACATAAACATTCACTCCATTGCATTTTGTTTTGATTATTTTTGGAACTTGGGAAGAAAAGCTTTTGACCCTTGTGGAGGTCCTGCCCCATTATGTAGCCTTCATGGTCCTGAACAAGGTGGACCACACACTCCCTTCTCTCAGCAGAGACAGTGGGTATGCAGGTGCTGGCTTGTGTCTCCTTTCATTTTATCCCTAGAAGGGTGGAATCCCATGTTCCTCATGTCAAAGATCCTTCTGAGCCGCACTGTCTAATATAATAGTAGCAACTAGCCACTTGTGGCCCTTTAAGTTATACTATTGAGATATAATACATATATTATAAATTCACCCTTTAAAGTACACGGTTCAGTGGGTTTTAATATACTTACAAAGTTGTACAATTGTCACCATTGTGTAATTCCAGAACATTTTCATCATCTCAAAAAGAAACCCATTACCCATAGCAACTACTCTCCACTTATACCTCCTCATAGCCCTGACAACAATTAATCTTTTTTTTATCTCTATGGATTTGCTTATTCTATGGATATTTCCTATAAATGGACTTATACACTACAAGGCAGTTTGTACTGACCTCTTTACCATGATGCTATCCAGTTTAGTCTGTGTTGTAGCATGGATCCTTACTTTTGGCTGAATTATATGCATTGTATGAATAGGCCACATTTTTATCTAAAACTTACCTGTTGGTGGACTTTGTGGTTTCCTTTTAGCTATTAAAAATAATGTTGCAGGCTGGGGATATAGCTCAGTTAGTAGAGTGCTTGCCTTGCCTGCATAAAGCCCTGGGTTCAATAACTAGCACCAATAAATACATAAAGTTGCTGTGAACATTTGTGTACAAGTTTTATGTAGACATATGTTTTTATTTTTCTTGGATGTATATGTAGGAATGGAAATGCTAGGTCATAGCTAACTCTGTTTTTAACCTTTTTGAGGTACTACCAGGCCATTTTTCCAAAGTATTTGTGCATTCCCACCAACAGAGTATGAGGTTCTAATTTCTTCACATTCTCATTAGCACTTGTTATCATCAGTCTTTTTTAATATAGCTATCTTAGTGTGAAGAGGTATCCTCTTGAGGTTTTGATTTACATTTCCCTAATGAATTATGATGTTGAGAAGCTTTCTGTGTGTTTATTGGTCAGTTGTCTTATCTTGTTTGAAGAAGTAGCTTTCAGAGCCTTAGCCCATTTTTAACTTAGGTTGTCTTTTTAATGAGTTTTTAAGAGTTATATATTCTGAATACTCCCATTGTTTCCTCCCATTTTGTGGGTTGTCCTTGCTATCCTGTGAAGCACAAATGTCTTCCATTTTGCTAGTATAATTTCTGTTTTTCTTTGCTTGTGCTTTTGGTGTCATATCTAAAATACCATTGCGCAAAGCAAGGCTGCAAAGATATAGATATGCTTTCTTCAGAGATAGGATTTAACTCTTATATTAGATTGCTGGTCCATTTCAAGTAAATTTTTATATACTGTATAAGATAGAGATCTATTAGTCCATTTAGCCTAAATTCCTTAGACTGAGTGATTGATTTACAAACAACAGAAATTTATTGCTCACAGTTCCAGAGGCTGGGGAATCCAAGGTCAAGGCACCAGCACACAGAATGTCAGGGAGGGCCCATTCATCACAGATAGCAATGTTTCCTTACATGGCTGAAAATGGGGTAAATAAGTTCCCTTTGGCCTGTTTTATAAGGACATTAATCCCATTCACAAGGTCCATCTTCATAACCTAGTTGAATCCCAGATGCCCATGTCCCAGCACCACTGCACTATGGATTGTCGGCATGTTAATTTGGTGATGGGGAGACAAATAGCAGAATCCAATTTCACTCTTTTGCTTGTGGAAATTTAGTGCTCCCAATGTCATTTATTGAAAACATGATTCATTCTTCACTGAATTATCTTAAGAACCTTGATGATCAATTGACTGTATTTGTTTGAGCTACTTATTTAAACTTGAATTTAAGTTAATTAAAATTAAATTAAATTTAAAAATCCAGTTCTTCTGGTATATTAGCCACATATCAAATACTAGCAGCCTCACAGTCACATGTGGCTGGTGGCCACCCTGTTGAACAGCACACACACAAATTCTCCACCTCAGAATAGCTCCTATTGGGTAGCCCTGCTCAATATCCGCAGCTTCCTAAGAGCTGTGCCAGGGCACTTCCATCCTGATCCTCAGTCCTGGCAGTCCATGGTGGGAAGTTTCTGTGACCAGAATACACATCTAGACCATATTCTAGTCATGCTATCACCTTTGTAATGACAGAAAACAGTCACTGGATTAACCATCCTCTGAAGAGGGTTTTGATCATGTTCATGTAAATGAGGAGTATTTGTCCAGATAACTGTTTGCAATGCTAAGATTGCAACTCTCAGCCAGGCACATTGGTACTCACCTGGAGTCACAACTACCTGGGAGGCTGAGGAAGGAGGCTTGCTCCAGTTCAGGAGCTTGAGTAGCATCCATAGCAAGACCCCATCAAAAGAAAATAAATAAATGTCAACTCCCTTCCTTCTTTCATCCATTAGCTGATGCTCAGTTCCAGTGGGTTTCCTTTTCCCTGTTCCTTTTTTCCTAAACTTAGGAAAGAGGAAAAGAATTGGAGAACTTGGTTTCTAATATAAATCAGAACATCCCAGGAGCCTATTACTGTACAGATTTGCAGGTCCAAGCCTCAGAGATGCTGACTCAGCAGGGGGATGGCTGGGAGCCTGCTTGTTAGTGAATACCCACCCTCAGGAGTTTAATGCAAGTTGCCAGCAGAGGCATCTTTGAGAATCCACACTGTACATTTCATATCTCTTTTACTGACATTTTTTTCTTCTAAGTGCAGAAAATGAAGAGTATTCTTTCTAATTATAGAGGCCCCCAAAATAAGGAGTGACAACAAGGAAAATCCACAACAGGAAGGAGCTAAAGGAGCAAAGCCATGTGCAGTGTCAACTGGCAGATCCAAAGGGAATGGTCTGCAGAGCCCTGAGCCACGAGGGGCAAACATGAGTGAGCCCCGGTTGTCTCGGAGGCAGGTAAGCCCCCCAAATGCTCAGAAGCCGTTTGTTCACTACCAGAGACACTGCAGGGAATTGGAATACATCAGCAGCCCTCTCAAAAGTCACCCCCTGAGAGAGCTGAAGAAGAGTAAAGGAGTTAAAAGAAGCTTGAGCAGTCGCTTGCAGCGTCTTGGTCACCAGTCAACCCGCTCCGCGAAGAAACCTTACAAATGTGATGACTGTGGGAAAAGCTTCACATGGAATTCAGAACTGAAGCGACACAAGAGAGTGCACACAGGAGAGAGACCCTACACCTGCGGAGAGTGTGGAAACTGCTTTGGACGGCAGTCGACCCTGAAACTGCACCAGAGGATTCACACTGGAGAGAAGCCATACCAGTGCAGCCAGTGTGGGAAAAGCTTTCGCCAAAGCTCAAACCTCCACCAACACTATAGGCTCCACCATGGGAACTGAGGAGTGTTTCAAGCTTCACAGTCACAGGGAAGGGCTTCCTGTACCTCCTTCCCTACTGACATGTAAATCAGATTACATGACTTAACAGGGAAACCAAGTGGCCCTTGGGGAGTGATGGTGTATGCTTGGCTAGTGAGGAGCCCCAGAAAGGCTGTCCAGGACCCACTGCACAGAGTGACAGGGTGAAGAGATGGCAGGTCTGGGTACTGGGGCAAAGAGTACTGCAGTATCTGCAGAGAATGGGGAATAACTACTGAGGGAGAATCAGGATGACCCCATAGGTGATCCCCCCCACTGCTGTTACCCTCCTCCCCGCCCCCGTGGCATTACTTATCCTCTAAATATGTTAAAGGTGAATTCCATAGAGAGTTGTGCATTTGCTGCCATTCCACACCATATTTTCATCTGCATACTTGAGCAGTTCTCCACAATTTCAAGGTAACAAACACTCATTGGAAAATGAATCCCCTAGTACTCTTTCTGTAAATGCCTAGCTGATTATAACAAAGAATCTGAGTATGTGCCTGTGTGCGAGGAGCATTTCCAAGCCAGCACATGGTGCTTTTATCAAAATAAAAAAGAGATCTTTTATATCACACACCTTTGATTTAGAAAAAGAAATTCCACACATCTGCAACAACCCTAACCCAGAAAACAGGGAAAAGCCATGGTGAGGAGGAAGTGATGGTTTAAGTGCTCAGAAATGTAAGGGGGGTTCTGCCTGCTCTCCTTTGTTACCTAGGCCATGAGCTTTAAAACTGTCAGAACCAGTGAAAGGAAAACAGTGTTTAAAACTGGATTACAGTGATGGCTGCACAACTCAGCGACTTTGCAAAAAGTTATCAAAATGAATTAATTTTATGGTATATAAATTGTCCCTTCATAGCATTTTTTTAAATGACAAAATATATTTATATAAAATGTTAAGAGTCCCAGAACTAGGCCTGGGAGACCATCTAATTCCACCGCTTATTTTCTCAAAGTAGAAATTAAAACAGTGTATAATTCGAGGTCACCCCAGGCAAGCCAGCTTGCTCCTCAGTTTGAGGAGCCTTTTGGCAGATTGGTGCACTGCCTCATGCAGAAACAGGAGCAGGTAGCAGTCTTCCTGAAATGTCAGTGTCCGATCACTACCATACAGGAGTCTGCCCCAAAGAAGCTTATGTTCCTCTTAACTGCTATGGGACGAGAGCACACTTGAGAGTCTTCGCTCAGCACCTTTACACACATTGTTTCTTTACCTTTTATTCCTGCTGCCTCCCACTCCGTCTTCCCTCCTCCATCTCACAAGAGCTGCCTATGCAAATCCCAGGGAAAAATTGGTTTGTAATCATGGGTCAGCTTCCTTGCTAGACTCCATAAGCTGGGCTTGCTCAACCTGGCAGCATTCTTGCCCTGCAGGGGACATCTGGCAATGTGTAGAGACATTTCAGGTTGTTGTGACTCAGGGGAGGAAGGGTTCTCTTGGCCTCTAGCAAGTGGAGCTCACGAATCCTCCATGGCACAGGAAAGTGCCCACAACAGCCACCTGGCTGAGCATGTCAGTGATCCCAGGATAGGGAAACTGCCATTCACTCTTAGCAGACCTTTCAAGACAAGAACTGTGTTTTCCATCATTTCAGCTTTTGAACTTGGCCCATGCTTAGTCAAAAGAAATAAATGTTCAGTAGTTGAGTAGTTGAGGCCCCAACCTCAGGGCCCATACTTCTACCTGAATTCAGAGATCCTGGTGATAGTTTATCCAGAGACTTACAGAAAGTCCAGCTTTTTTGGCCCTGAAGGCTCTAATCACAGATCCCCTTCCCAACTGCTATGTTAAGTCATGGAAGGATTTTATCTTCAGCATTCAGCCTGCTCCTCACCTCACTCCATGCTGCAGCCTGTCACTAGCTAAAGGCTTTGCGTCTCACATTCCCTCCTTTCCCTGCCCTTCTCCAGGCCAAATGTATGTTGTCTATTAATAACTTCCAAGTGCTGGTCACATCTGTATTAGTTACCCACTGGAGCTGTAACAAAGCCTACAAACTTAGTGGCTTAAAACAAAAGAAGCTTCTATAGTTCTGGAAGTCAGAAGTCCAGAATTGGTTTTACTCAGCTGAAATCAAGCTGTGGTTGGGGCTGGGTCTTCCTGGAGATGCTGAGAGTAAGTCTGTTTCCCTGACCTTTTCAGGTTCAGTAGTCACCTGCATTCTGTGGGTTGTAACCTCTTCCTCCTTCTTCAGGATGAATCCCCCTCTCTTTCATTATGTTGCCTTCTTGGACACTGGCCCTCCTTCCTTCCTCTTATAAGGACTGTTGTCATATTGGGCCTACCGGGATGATCTGAAGATCCTTAATAGTATATTCAAGGTCCCTTTTGCCATATAAGGTAACATGCACAGGTGCCAGGGATTAAGATGTGGATATATTTGGGGGGCCATGTTTCAAGCTTCCACCCACCCATATCTGTGTTGAGTAAACTTGATTGGTCAAAAAGGATTTTCTGAAAGAGAAGGAACTTCCAGTTCTCTTATTTATAAAGGTAGGCATAGGGATTGTTCTTAAAAGAGTTTCTGCTGCTTGGCATTTTTCCTCTCTTCAGATTACCCGTTAGTAATTGTCTAATCTTCATGTCTTTGGGTACCCGTTTAGTGGTGGACCTTGAATAAATGTGACATAATCACTGCTCTGAACACTATTCTTTTCCAGAGTATGTCAAGTCTGATGCTGACTGACTTGTCCCGGACTCGTTTTCCTTTGGTATAAGGTTCACCTCCAGGCAAGCAGTGGCAGGAAAGATCAGGTGGCCTGGAAGAAGGCCCCTGGGTACTATATTCATATGGAGGGCTCCCCTTGGCTTCCTTGCCCATGCATAGTGCCCCAGAGCCTCAGCAGGACTCTGACCCACTAGCATGCATCCAGCTTCTGTTTATAGCACCCCCGAATAATAAAAGGGCCTTTTTCCTCCCATATCCAGCCCTTGCCATTAGATTCTGCTATCTTCTCCATGCCCTGCCTAGCACCTGTCTGTGTCAGGGTGGAAGTAAATCCTACTCCAGATGTGTGGTCACTGTCACCCTCAGAGAGATGAGGACAGTGTATGGCCATAACTCATGATGTGGGGTACCTACATCATAAACCTTTCTGAAGAGTATTTTCCATCTATAGCAGATGAGGACTTGTAAACCCATCCCATAATACCATTATCACTCCCATTAAATTAGCAGCAACTCCTGATTATGACAGACACGTTGAAATTTCCTTTGTTTCTAAAACAGAAATGCTATCTTTCTGCACATACCAGAAAATTCATGTAAAGTGTACAGTTCAGTGATTATAGTGTATTCATGAAACTATCACCACAGTCTAACTTTAGAACATTTTCAACAGCCCAAAACAAAACCCTAAACCATTAGCAATTACTCTCTGCTCTGGCCCCATCTCAAGATCCTCTCCTTCATTCACTGAGCATAATGTCTTCAAGGTCACCCATGTTGTATCATTAGGATTTTATTCTTATTGCCAACAATACTCCATTGTATGAATGGACCATGCTTTGTTGGTCCATTCATCATTAGTGGACATTTGGGTTTTTACTTTATGGCTGCTAAGAACATTGATACATAAGCTTTTATGTCTTTATTTCTCCTGGGTGTATATCTAGAGGTGGAGTTTCTGGGTCATGTGGTAATTTTATGTTTAACTCTTCTTGAAAGTACCAAATTTTTCCAAGTGGCTGCATCATCTTACATTCCTACCAGCAGTATGTGAAGAGTCCCAGTTTCCCTAATACTTATTGTCTTTTTCATTACTGCCATCCTAGTGAGTGTGAATTGGTATTTTGTGATTTTGATTTTTGTTTCCCTAATAACTCATGATGTTGGAAATCTTTTCATATGTTTACTGGCCACTTGTATACCTGCTTCGAAAATATGACTATTTAAAACATCTTCCCGATTTTAATTGGATTGTTTTTATTGTTCAGTTGTAAGAATTCTATAAAAATTCTGGAATCAAGTCCTTACAGAAATGACTTATAAACAGTCTCTTCCATTCCATTCATTGTAATATAATTTTATTTACTTATTTTTTGTCATATGGGGGATTGAACCCAGGATACTCTATCACTGAGCTACATCCCCAGCCTATTTATTTATTTAGAGACAGACTCTCTACAGCACAACTATTAAACAGCCCTTGAATTAGGAGTAGGTCTGATTTCAATGTTTGTGGGGCTTTTTGTTTGTTTTGGATTTGTTTTGAGATGGGTCTCACTATGTTGCCCCTGCTTGCCTCAAACTCCTGGGTTCCAACAGTATCCCTGCTTCAGCCTCTTGAGTAGTGGGACTATAAGTGTGTACCACTGCATCCAGAAATGTCTTTCATTAATCACTGGGCTGGGAATTTGGGAATCAAGGGTTTTGGGTGGTTGCTCTTACTGAATCTGCTGAAGCCCAAAAGTATAGAAGGATGTAGGATAAGAAAAATGAGGATCTGAGGAAGCAAGGTCCCTGAGAAACATGTCATTGGAGAAGAGGTGACTTAGTTGTCCAAAATTGAGGAGTAACCCAGATTTTTTTTTTTTTTTTTTGGTATCAGGGATTGAACCCAGGGGCACTCAACCCCTGCACCACATTCCCAGCCCTTTTTGTATTTTTATTTAGAGACAGAGTCTCATGAAGTTGCTTAGGGCCTTGCTAAGTTGCTGAGTCTGGCTTTGAACTCATGATGTTCCTGCCTCATGATCCTTCTCCTGAGCCATTGGGATTATAGGTGTGCACCACCACACCCAGTACCAGGAAAAGAATTCTAGTCAGGCTTTCCTGATTTAGATCTGCATCCGAGTATGCTACAAACAACCTGACTGTTCCAAACTGGAAAAGGAACACCTAAAAGATTTACAGGGGACACACCCCAAGAAATAATATGGTAGAATGAATAGACAAAATGCCATCCAGCCACACAATGGAATACTATTCAACCATAAAAAGAAATGGTATATGCTACAACATGGATGTACCTTGAAATCACTAGGCAAGAATCCAGAAGTCACATATGGTATGAGTTCATTTATGTAAAAATGTCCAGAATAGGAAATGTGAACAGACAAAAAGTAGATTAGTGGTTTCCAGAGGCTCAGGAGAGAGAAATAGGGGATGACTGCTAGTAGGTATGGGGTCTCTTTCTAGGGTGAAAGTTGCACAACCTGTGAATATACAAAAACCCACTGGACTGTGCACTTTAAAAAGGTAAATTTTGTTATGTGGAGTATAACTCAATTAAAAAGAATAAACCATGAACAGCCTCCATTGCTGGCAACATACCCAGTTGATTTTGCCCAGGGCAAGGACTTCATGGGTCCCTGCACCTCAAGTCAGAGCAGTGGAAGCAGAATATCCAAAGGTGATAGTTACAAAGTAGAATTTTAGTGTATCCAACTTGAAAGTGTTGAGGACATACATGGTAATATCTGTTGTGTGAGTATGGCAGGAGGACATCTGTACCAAGGACCTAGGTTGTCCTGAGAGAACAGGAACAGTGTCCTGTGGACACAGGACAACAGAGGGAAGATCAGGGTTGGTCAATTCTTAGGACTCTGTCTTAGGAAATGGTGAAGCCCCAAAGCTGACACTGTGGAGTATATACCGAAATGGAGCCAGGATCTTTAAGCCAAAGACAGTGTTATGGGGAAGTTTTAAAAGTTATTTATCTTTTAGAAATTTTAAGTAGAATGTTGGGATGCTGTTCAGCAAGCCAAGTATGTGTGCACTTTGTCTTTTTACAGACCTAGACTGGGTCCCAGCTCTCATCCTTTCAGAGCCCATTTCTCCAACTGCAAGACGAGAATACTACTATCTGCCTTATGAGATTTAAGTGAGATGATCTGACTTTATGCCTCCTGCATAGTGAGTTCCCAACCACCCCAAAGCAACAGTTCCAAGGGGCAGAAGTGTCTGGGCCCTCAAGAGGCACAGACATCATAAGGATGGTCTCCTAAGACTGGTCCAGCCACTGCCAGAAGTGCAGACCAGTGGGCAAGGCAAAACATAAGCAGGTTATCAAATCTGCCTCTGACTAACCCACACTCTTCTCTCCAAACCTTTCCAAAAATCAGTGTGTTGCTAGAAGAAACACTGACATTGTCCACATTCTACCTGATGCATAGATTCCTCTATACCTGCTGCACTAGCACCCAAGCTTTTGTTAGAGATTTTCATAGACAGAGAACTTCCCACTTTACAACATTTCATTTTGGGACCCTCCCAGTTTTCTTTTCTAATATGCTGGGCATACTGGCCTTTGACCCTGGAGCCCTCATTGCCCCATGAGTACAGTAGAAAGGGAATGGATAGGGGTGACAGAATAGGAAGATGAGGGGAACTGTACTGGGCCTCCAGAACACTCCACAAAAGGTTAAGCCTTCGTAAATCTGAACTGCTCTGAATGTGGAGAGTGAACCCACCAGGGCCATGTATTTCAGAGCCAAGGACAGGCACAGCACCTGGGGGACCCAGAAACCTCTGGAAAGCATGCTCCTGGCTGTCCAGCTTTGAGGCACAGACCACATTGGGCAGGATGGCTGTTCTATAAAAGGAAAGTAAGTCCCCCTGATAGAAACTTTTGAGGAATCATAGGTTAGGCTGTCAGGTCAACTAGAAGTCAGATATGTACTTTAGGGAAGGAGTAACAAGAGCTGAGGGGGAAGTTCTTTGATGACGTTTGTTCTGAGGGAGAGTAATAGGACCTCCTGAGGCAGGAGGTAATGGAGGTTGCCATTACATCCCAAAGAACTATTTTCCCTGGAGGGCAGAACTGGGAAGTGCGCCCCCAGAAGGCAGGCTCACGCCTGCTCCTTTTCCACCTTGATTTTCCACCAGGGCTGCAGCCCTGACCCAAGTCGCGAGGAGGATTCTGTGAGGCTACCTCCCCATTAGTGGGCTCTATGGGAAGAAGCAGCGCCCCCACCACCGGCCCTCCTCCCTGCTCCTCCTGTCTGTCACTGTCAGATTGCTGGCTGCACAATAGCAAAACCTGCCCCTGCCTTCCTGCCTGCAACGCAGAGCAGGCTCTCGAGGCGAGGGAATGGGTTCGTGGCCTCACACGCCCCCTTTCGTGGGGCCACTAGGTACATTCCGTAGGAATCTGCCGCAGCCAGTCCCCACCAGCGGGATGAACCAGGGAGCTCTTGGGGGGGGGGGAGCGGCAGTGTGGGTAGAGAACCCGCCTGCAATGGCAGAGACCTCTTCAGGAAGTACTGTCAGTGCCAGTCTCCCAGGAAGCTCCGCCTCCCACTGTCGCCGAGCTGTCAATAAGAAGCTCGGGCAGCGCGGAGCCCCCTGGGAAGTGTGGCGCACGGCAACGGGCTTGCGCGCCTTGACGCACGCGGGCATGCGGCCGACATAAAAGGTGTCGGCACTTACTGGATGCCAGCTACGTGCCCGCCACCCTTCCACGCTGGCTGGCCGGCGGTGCAGTCGTAACTCGGTGTAGAGGGGGAAAACAGTCGACCCAGAAAGCCACACCAACGTCAAACCGCAACCGCACTCCTAAGATACCCAGGATGGACATGATGGAAGTACCCCTGACACAGGAGTCGCGCGGGGTGGCAGCAGCGATTCCCCAGAGGCCGCGCACACTTGCACACTGTGGGGTAGACTATGACTGTGCGCTGGGCACTGTGGAAACAGATTCGGTCCTCCTCGGGAGTGGTGGGCGCACCATTAAAGCGCCTCGCATCCGTCTCCCTTCACTTCTCAGCATACCCTGTGACCCAACCCTTTCCGACCTGTAATAGGCGATGGTGGTGAATTCAGGAAAAAACGCTTAGCACGACCTGGCCTGGCACATAGCCAGCCGTTTAGTTTTATTCTAATTATCTGATTCACTACTCTGACTTCCCTGTTATGTTTAGTTCAAATACCACCCTCTCTTTTGTAATAGTATCTCAAGCATACTTGCAGTCACCTCTTTCTTCACATTAAATCTGTGATTTTGGTGGGGCTGACCCCAGTGGGGTCTCCTAGGCCAGGTATCCAGGAGAGCAAATGAAAACCAAGTCTGGCCTATCAGTAGTCCACTCCATCATCCTGGCCACAGGGGCTGGTTTAGGAATGGGTCCATAAGCCAAGTAAATAAAACTTTTTAAAATAAATGTAAAACAACACATTCAAGATATACAGCATGATTCTGTATGATTGCTACAGTCAGACTAACATCTTGTGCAGTTACCTTTAAGCAAATTTCCAAAACTATTAACTGTGGTCATCATGCTGTACTTATTCATCCTATATACTGCAATTCTGTACCCTTTCACTCACATCTTCCCTTCCCTACTGACCATCATCTACTTTGTTTCTATGTATTTCATATTTTTAAGGTTCCACACATAAGTGAGATCATGAAGTATTTTTCATTCTGTGTGTAGCTTATTTCACTTAGTGTAACATCCATCAGGTTCATCTGTTGTTGAATTTTTTAAGGTTGAATATTATTCCACTTTATGTGCATACATACACGTTGGGTGTGATTGTGTCACAATTTCTTTATCCATTCACCCATCCAGAGACAAAGATTTGTTTCCTTTATTGTTTGAATATTGTTATATTATTTCCATTATTGTTGAACATAGGAAACTATATCTCTACAAGGTGTTGGCTTCATTCTAATGACATATATCCAGAAGAGTGACTGCTGACTCCTGTGATAGTCCTATTTTTTAATTTTTTGGGTAACCTTCATACTGTTTTCATCATGGCTGCACCAATTTATATTCACATGGATGGTGTACAAACACTCCCTTTTCTCCACACCCTCATCAACACTTTCATCTCTTCCCTTTTTGAGAACAGCCATATTAATAGTTATAAGGTTGTTGTTAGATGTGCATTTCCCTGATGATTAATGATGTTGAACACCTTTCAATATCCTACTGGCCATTTTTTTTTTTTTTGGAGAGGAAGTCCTGCTGTATTGTCCAAGATGGCCTTGAACTCCCAATCCTCTTGCTTTAGCCTCCCAAGTACATGGGAGGATGTGCTTGTCTGCCTATTGGCTATTT